GTCGTCGCGGACGCATTGTCGCGACGACCAGATTACGCTGTCAAGACAGCCGACGCCTACCGGATGGCCATCGCTCGGCCATACACACCGTCGTCGTCCTTGTTGGACGAGGTGAAGGCCGCGTGTGCGCATAACGCAGACGCGAAGCAGCTGATCGAGCTCCTCTCAGTTCCTTCCGACAAAGCACGTCTTGGCCCCTCGTCTACGAGCGAGTGCACACCGGTATCATGCGCACGACGGTCTACTGCTTTACAGCGCTGTAGACGACAATGCGGAACGCATTGTCGTGCCGAATGATCCTGACCTGCGCAGCAGGATCATGTACGAGTATCACGATGTCCCCACGGCAGGACATCCGGGACGTGACAAGATGTATTCTCTTCTCGCCCGAGACTTCTACTGGAACCACCAGTACAAGTGGGTTCGCAAGTACGTACGTACTTGCGATGTTTACCAGCGAGTGAAGCCTGCACCTCACTCGCAGGCTCCTCTTTAACCACTGCCGACTCCGTCGGAGTGTTGAGAGTCCGTTTCGATGGACTTCGTGTTTGGTCTTTCGCGCGATTCCAGGCGGAAGATTGGTATCGTGACCGTCGTTAACCGTTTCAGCAAGATGGTGCATCTCGCTGCTGTCACGGTTCTCTATGTCGACTGCGGATCATCCGCAGACGGAAAAGCAAACCGAGCGCGTGAACCGCGTGCTCGTGGACTTGCTGAAAAGCTACGCCCAGTCGTTCCACAACTGGGATGACTACTTGCGGATGGCCGAGTTCGCCATCAACAATGCGGTGCATGCCTGACTGGGCATACACCGTTCTTCGTGAACGCCATGTGGCATCCACGACTTCCGAGCACGCTCGGGGCGGTGGCTTCCTCCTTAAGTGGAGGAGGATCTACGGTTGCGCTCGAATAACCGCAGAATACAGCTTATAGGGATCTATCAGCTGCGACGACACGTGCGAGAGCGAGAGCCCGCACACGACAAGGCGACGTGTCAGTGCCCGGCACTGACACTGTGAAGAACCACGAGTAGGCGACACCTGCTTCATCCAAGGACAACGTGTCTGAGCGGAGCACAGACACCGCGAAGACTCACGCACAGGTGGGGCCTGTTTGAAGAACCACGAGTAGGCGACACCTGCTTCATCCAAGGACAACGTGTCTGAGCGGAGCACAGACACCGCGAAGACTCACGCACAGGTGGGGCCTGTTGCACACACGAGTGATGCATCGATGCCGGGCATCGATACGGAGAAGCTTCACGCTCAGACACGGCCTGTTGCGATCACACACGAAGTGTCAGTGCCAGGCACTGACACCACAAAGAGTCACGCACAGTCTGGGACTGATGCGAACACAAGTGGTGAGTCTGTGCAGGGCACAGACGCGGACAAGACCAATGAGCTGGATCCGGGGTTCAGCTCTCAAGCAATGGACTTTGTCCAAGAACGACAAGCAGTCGTTCGATTTGTACAAGATGTAATTGCAGCTTCTGCGGATAGGCAGAAGCTCAACGCAGACAATGTTGGCAGGGATAACACAAATGGATTCAAAATGGGTTCATTGGTTTTGTTATCTACTCAAAACCTGCCTACACATGCAGTTTCTGGATTCGGAGCAAGCTTGCTTGCTCTGCGCTTCATTGGGCCGTTCACGGTGACAGAACGTCACGGCAGTGCATACACGTTGGAACTTCCTTCCGACATGAGACTCCACCCAACGTTCTACGTTGGGCGTTTGAAGCCATACGTGCAGCCCGAGTCATCTAGTCGTGATGACTCGCCAACGACGACGCGCGGCGCGTCCTCAGCTTCTCCTCAAGCCGCTTCACCTTCTCTTGGAGAAGCCGAACCTGTTCCGACACCTCAACACGGATGTTTGAGGTGGTCTGAGCGGCTTCGGCCACGGAGGCCTTCCTACTTCAGCCCAGCGATCGGAGAAGCCTGAACGCGCTCAAGAGCCTCCACGCGAGCGTAGAACGCCTGAAGACCGTGGTCAACCTGGGGTTGACCATATGATGAGCGTCCGGCACCGACGACAGAAGCATAACTCTGTCCGCGGCGCGATCCACCGCGAGGTAGATCGGATTGTTGACCATACCAGTCCGAAGACGAACCGAGATCCGGTTCGTTTTCGTATTCGTTGGAGACAATCGGGTCTCCTTCGAGATACGTGGTTTCCCCGTAACGTCCTGATGACGGACGTTCTGGAAATGGTGAAGGCGTACGAAGTCCACCACGGACTGGAGGCGTAACACTGCGGGGTGTTGTGCTCAGGCACAACACTAGGATGCAACACTAGGATGCTGACGCGTGCATGCGAGCTTAGCACGTAGCTCCTTAACGTTTGCAGGTACCCAGTTAGTCGTGTACCCGGTGCGATCTCTCTCGCTGATGCGGGTAGCACCAGGAGAGCAGTGCGGGCAATTGATACCCACTGGTACTGCACAAGGAATATTCGCGTTCACGGAACCTTCGTGAACGCGCTGGACGCCAGAAGTAATGGAGTACTTCATGAAGCCCTCACGAGCGGAAACAATTCGCTCGCGATAACCTGTCGAATCTTTGTTGAAGTTTTCAACAAACTGATTCCAGGTTTGACAGAGTGCCAGCCACTCGGGCACTCTGCTTTGCCCCGAAGTCATCTTCGAGCTCCAGTACCGGAGCTCGTGAAAAAGCGAGATGTAGTAGTCTCGCCTTTGATTTGCCATCGGCTCAAAGTGCTTTGAGGCAGCTTCAGCGTCGTCGGCAATTCGGTTGTCGACGTACAACGGTATCTCGTTTGGAGGAACCGTGCATCCGTGCCGAGCGGTAATGACACTCTCGGACGGCATCCAAGGTTCGTGCACTGAGCCGTCAGTGCGCATGACATCACGCTGCTCCGAGGTGATGGCAAGTGCTTCCAGTCTGGAAGGTACTGCATCACTAATACTTTGCGGACGCTTCGAAGATAAAGTGTCCAAATCATCTTCACGAGGGCGGCGAGTCCCAGCCGCAGGCTTGGAGTCGTGTGACAGGGAAGACGAGGCACCCTCGTCTTCAAGCTCCCCCTCCTCGTAGTTCACGGGGATACCACCGTCGGTCGAGAGGACCGACGAACCATCCAAGACAGTCTTAGGACTGTCTGGCTTTGCGGCCCCAGCGCTGCTTCGCCTCGAGCTCGGGCTTCTTCTCTTGGAGCTCAAGGTACTTGGCGACAGAGAAGTTTTTCTCTGTCGTTCCACGCAGAGGTGTCGGCGTTTCCGCCGACACATACGCGGAAGCAGGCACCGACGCGGAGGTCGGTGCGGAAGCGGGATCAGCCGCCGGGGTCGACACTGAAGTCGATGCG